TCGATTTCCCTCCAGAAAAGGATACTGGCCTATTCCCTTTGTATTTTACCCACACAAAAAGAAAACTATATCCTACGGGAGATAAGCTACAGGGATATGTTCTTTATTTTACTTTGAACAAAATTGGATCAGGATTCTGAAATGCATTTATAGATTTTCATAATATCACGAATGCTTGACTTTATTAGATTTACGAGGCTTCCACTGAATTCTGAATTCATGTCTGTTGCCAAATCGTAATTCCCTGGAATCCTCTTTTCTACGTCAATATGATTTTTTCAGAAAACTGTTGGGATTATAACTGCCACGCATCTGTGCGGAATGATTAGACTACCGATATTGGCGCAATTTAGTGAATGCGGTCAAACCTGCAATGTTTACATCATTGTAATGTGCAGAATAAGCGTGTATATGCATTAATGTACGTTCATTTTTAAAGCTTACATTTGGGAAGATATACATATCTTAAATTAATGTAATATATTTCATATTTTGGCTCCTGGTTTTTATATTTAATATGAGGGCGCGCACGTCCTAAGGTGTTCTTAGACCAATTGCCCGTAAATATGTTTACTAAATGTTTAATTGCTTTAAACTTTCATATTTCCATCGATATGTTCATGACCATGGTGCATTAATGTGAACCTATCGATGTCTATGTTATAGATAAAAGTTTAAACTAACAAAACGTTTAATAAACGTAATTTCAGCCACTTGGTATCCGTGGCCTCTTGCAGGTAAAAGGCCGTATAAGGACTACCCGAGAGACTAGGCACAAACTGCCCGGTCCAATCATCATCACCAGGGAATGTGGAAACAACCCGAGCAGAGATTCATGAGAGTAGCGTCTCCCCCACACCAGATGCCGAAAGCTCAGTTATCATCTTATCACCGTTGGAGGTAATACCACCTCCATTGCTTCCGAAACTGAAAAAATAGACATTGAGTATCCCCATAAAAGCTGATGAGATAGAGAGAACAGTGACAGACTAGAACTGTCTAACAGTGAGCTACTCATGTAGGCTATATCTTCAAGAGATAAATCAAGGACAAGCCGGAAGTGAGAGGCCTTCCATCGATGCTAGCTTCAGCAGCACAGAAGGAGATGATCACCTAAGCATAACACATGATTAGTGTGCCCTCAAACGCCCACTATACAAAGCTCTAGAAGGAGGAAACGTGCTTACAATACCACACTGTTGTCACTCTCTGAGTATTGAACAGCTGTTGTCCGATTCTGACATTTGACTGAAGCACATAAATCCCCATTAAAAATAAAATATCTTGCCTTGTCCATTGAATCAGACACATATGGCCAGACATAAATATGGCTTTAGTGCCGCATAGATGGGGGAGATTGGCCCAGAGCAGTCCACACCAATGCGGATTCACCAATATGGTCCACGGCAACAGCACGTCTTTTGTTGCTGCTGACCAAGGCAGCACTTTGCTGCTCTGGGAAGCATCAGCTCCAGGGAAATGCGACTCGCCATGGGTCAATGTACACCGATATACATTCTGGTAATAATTTTTGTTATCGAACTCGACAGCCCCTTTCTGTAGTGCCGACGATGCAATAAGTCCAGTAAAAACTGTAGCCTCGGTTCTTTCTCGCTCCTGTTATTATCAGCCACTCTTTAAAGCCACAAGGCGTGTCATCCCTGAAGAGTTCAGCGCGTCGATAATCGTCGTTTACTCTTTAGCGTCATTTCTCCGTTCGCGGTAAAGGTTTTGACCATTTTGTCTTCTTTTTATGACTATTTTTATTCCCAACCACATTGCGGTCCTCATGATGAGAAGACAGCATAGCTACCATTATGCTTTCTCATTTCTTACCTCATTATTTATTCTTTTAATTAAATCTGAGTTTTATCGCATTTATTTAATTGAACTTCGCTATTTCTTGATTTATTTTATGTTTTGTGAAATCATTATTTTTTTATTTACTACATTCTATTTCTCTCTACCACCTGTATGCATTTCCAGAATGGAAAATGGAAACCGTATGTGATCTATATCTAACAGAGTACAAGGAACGTATGTATGATTCTACCATTATAAGTATCTGTGATAAGCACGAATGATTTAAATTGCAGTTAAAATAATAACATCAAAAATAGAAATAACGAATATTCGAAATATTACTTATATAGATTTTAAACCGATTTATCACTACAGCAAGAGCAGAAATTCCAAGCATATAAGATATTCAGTTTAGAGTACGCCACATACGTCAATGCCAACGGAAACAGGAGAGTAAGTGTGGATAAAAAGAGGAAGATAACTGGGCATGTATTTCAAAAGTGGCGCCTTTTTTCCTCTCTCTCTCAGTCAGGGAGTTAGCGACTGATGTGAATTATGATGATGTATCAGATAAATTTGGTAGAATAAAGTCCATGCGAAAGAGAATGTTGCAGTTGTTTCATACATTTTATTTTTATACTGTTTCATTTTGTTTTATTTTTTGTAATTGACATTGTTTTTATTGTGTTTTGAGATTCACCAGTTCACTAGGGCTTAGTTTCATGGTAATAATTATGTACACCCATCAGAAGCGTATCTTCCTTCCATTTTAATTCCGATTACAAATTGGAAATCTAAAATCTATTTAAGATGATTCGATACTTTTTCCCTTAATTTTAGAACATAGCGTCGGCCCGCCTGTCCATTGTAAGCATGTAGCTTTCAAATATTTAATGGAATGTATTTAATCGGCCTTGATAATCAATGTTACTCAATTTTATCTATGATATCATTAAGATATTTTCAAGGTATATCAATTTCAGAACATGGCCGCTAATATACAAAGTAAGCTCCATAAACTCTTTAGTTACCCTTAAAGAAAACGTTTGATTTGTACGAAAGAAAATGAACTAATTATTACGGTAACTACTATAAATGTTTTGCTGCACAACCACCTCCGTACACACTCTTTCTTTCTGTCTCTCTCGCTTACGTAGAAGAAAGAGAGAAAGAGGAAAGATTAGGGTGAAATTTTGAATTTTCATTAAAAAAGGATATCTAGGGTTGGGTACACACAACACTTCATACATAACTCAGTCCGTGTCTAAATATTTAGTACAGGTCAGATAGAAAAACAGATAACTAGCTGGATTTTCTTCTTTTTCATTATCATTAACGTAAATGATAGTTCAAAACCATCAATATAAACTTTTTAGAAAGTATTCTTCAACTGGAATTGTGTGAAACCGTCTTCATTTTATCAATAAGCCTCTAACCCACGTTTTTGTTTACTCTTCGTTGTTTAGAAATGTGGTTTGTTTGTAGTTATATGTCTATGATTCCGGATTTAATTTACAACTGAAATTTATTCCGATTGATACACAGATAATAATAATTATCATTATTATTATTGTTATTATTATTATTATTATTATTATTATTATTATTATCATTATCATTATTATTATTATTATTATCATTATTATTATTATTATTTTATTTATTGTCATTATTATTATGATCGTCATATTTATTACTACTATTATTATTATAATTATTATTATTATGATCGTCATATTTATTACTACTATTATCATTATAATAATTATTATTATTGTTGTTATTATTACCTCCGCCAAGAAGGTTATGTTTTTGATGGCGTTGGTTTGTTGGTTAGTTTGTTTGTTAGCAGCCTAGCTCAAAAAGTGCTGGCCGGATTTCATCGAATTTTTGGGGACAAGTCAGAAAGGGACTAACTTAGAACTGATAAAATTTTGGTGACAATCCGAATTACCGTCTGGTTATTATTATTATTGTCATTAATTAATCAATAAAATACACAAATCTACGGTAAACGTGTTCCACATTTCACTGACATTCCAAATTACCGTCTGGACGCAGCAGCGGTGTAAGTATATTATATACGCACCTTGGCGGAGGTCTGCACTCTCTGAGTGCTTTTCTAGTTATTATTATTCTTGTCATTATCATCATCATTATCATCATTGTCCTTATCATTACTACTGTTATTATTAGTAGTATTTTGATCATTATTATTGTCATTGTTATTGTTACTATTATCACTATCATTACCATTGTCATCATCACCATTATCCTTATCCTTATTATTAACATTACTATCATTATTGTCATCGAAATATCAGCATTATTATTATTAAAGTGCGCTCCGTTCAGTAAATCTGTTTTCATTATTACTTCCGCCACACAATTAACAAAAAAATACATAATACAAAGCATCAGTTCCATAGCTATAAGGTTTCTCCAGTTTCTATTTTTTCTTTTTAATTTCCTAATTACTTAGATGTTTGTGTTTGCATATGAACGTTTTTTTATTTAGTTTTATACTTATTCCTATATTGTTTCTGTCGTATAACTTTTAATTGCTCTTCCACAAAGTTAAATTGCATTGTTGTACAAAATAATGGCTACCTTCAGATAGCGGTCAGGTGCTAATGTGTGAATGTTAAATTGACAGGAGCATCTGTGTGTGTGTGTGTATGTGTGTGTGTGTATGTGTGTGTGTGTATGTGTGTGTGTGTGTGTGTGTGTGAGTGAGTGTGTGCGCGTGTGTGTGCGTGTGAGTGAGTGTGTGTGTGTGTGTGTGTGTGTGTGTGTGTGTGTGTGCGTGTGTGAGTGTGTGTGTGTGTGTGAGTGTGTGCGTGTGTGTGTGCGTGTGTGTGTGTGCGTGTGTATGTGTGTGTGTGTGTGTGTGTGTGTGTGTGTGCGTGTGAGTGTGTGTGTGTATGTGTGTGTGTGTGTGTGTGATCCCCCTCCCCCCGCCTCCTTCATTCTCTGAGCCCACTCTTTAACTTTGGACATCAACGGCTATTGACAGGCACTTATTTACGAGTTTCGAAAAGTTAAGAACACACCGAATTTTTATTTTTTTGTAGGATTCATGTCACTTTTTTTAAATTCATGTTTTCCTACAGACACTAAAGTTTTGTAAACAAGGAGGTATATATGTTTAAAAAAATATTCTTGCTTAATTGGTAGTTATTGTTGATAAAACACAATTGGATTATGTAGTCTTTATTGATACTTTTATTGACACATTCACGATTGCTGCAACAAAGAGATTGTAACAGCATCCCTATACAAAATAAAATACCTCTAAAATTTAGCAAAATATATTTACACTTTATATACAAGTTTAAATACATATAATAATGAAGTTTACCCAACCGCTCAACATTTTTTATGACCAATGATAATACACTGTGATAAAAAACAAAATGAAAATGAAAATGAAAAACATGATCATAGACTAAGGAAAATCGAAACTGGAATGATATTTTTTTACACTTCCTTGCGATTCTACAGATAAAGTTATACATAATGATAAATAAAACATAATCTCACATATATTCCAAATATCAATTAGAAGTTGGATTCATTACTACTGATACTATTACTACTACTATTACTATTACTACTACTAACATAACTACTCCTGGAACTTGTATATGACGCGCAACATTCATACAGTAATTTCGCTCTTATGCAGCTCTGCTATTACAACTGTCACTATTAACAGTAATGATAGTCATAATGATGGTGACAATAATGAAAATAGTGATGATGAGAGTAATGATAATAATCATGGTATAAGTAATAATAATAACTATGAAGATAATGATAATGATATTAATGATTGTAATAATTATGATAATGATAATAATAATGATGATGATAATAATTATAGTAATGGTAATAGTAATGATAATACTAAATAAAAGTAATAATAATAACAATAACGATAATAATAATGATAATAATTATAATTATAACAATATATAATGATGGTGATAATGATAATCATAATAACGATAAAAGTAATAATGGTAATGATAATAATATTGGTTATGATAATGATAATAATAATGATGATAAAAACATGATAATAGTAAGTGTAATGTCAGTAATAGTAAATATCATCATTAATATTATCATTGCAATCATTATCATCATTATTGTCGTTAATACCATTATCTTTACATCGAGATGAATAACAATCACAATAAAAGGCTAATAATCCTTTCATTTATCTAGTTTAACATCCATCAGTAGTACTCAACTGGGCGCGAGGACCCTTCGTGCTTGCGTTAAAATGGGGTGTGTAAAGTTTCACTAGACCTTTGCAACAGGGTAACTTGAAATGCACGAACTGTGTGCTGAAATAGAGTGTGTTGAATGAATAATTTAGTGATAGACTTTTAAATGACGTCTGGTAACATGCACAACTCAATATCACATTTTCGTCTCGTTTTTTGCGAGAGTTATCTATACATTCGATTCTTTTTTACAGGAGTTTTGGGACGTCGGTGGGTCCAGAGGGTCATCCGAGGTCAGATTACTTAAGGTTGTTGACGATGACTTGGTGTTGGTAGACGAAGACGACCTCGTATTCATGATGGACGTTGAACTGTAGCGAGAGGTGAAATATGCAGCGAGGTTGAGGACCGCAGCCCCGGCAGGAGCGGCAGCACACAGGATCAAAACAGACGTGTATGAGTTGGTGAGGTCCACGAGAGCTCCGGCGATGGGCGGCCCCGATAAGGCTCCAGCTCCTGTGACCAGCAGGAGGTAGCCTAGCACCCTTGCCACTCCTACGCCAGAACTCATCTGCGATGGCATGAGGGCGTACAGGACGCTCTGCAGGCCACACGCAATTCCGAAGCCTACCATCGCAGCGATCAGCTCTCCGTGGGAGGTCGCCAAGGCTGCGCCACCGACAGTGAGCCCCAAGAAGAGCTGGATGGCGCTGAACAGCAGGAGAGGCGGAATGCTGCAGCCCATGAACGCCCCGGCCAGCATCCTGCCCACCATGTCGCCGGCGCCGCTGCCAGCGAGAGCCTGGGAGAAGGCCGCAGAGAGCCCAGCCCATTTCGTCCAGTCTAGAAATACGGCGAACACAGTCGTAGTTGCTAAGAAGCTGAGGAAGCAAGAAGCCTCAAGCAGCCAGAATGTTGGGGAGCAGAACAAACGCCTCATTTCTCCCTTCGTGTTTTCTCGATTCTCCGCGCTTGACTCATAGTCGTTACTGCGATTGCCCCCAAACTGTCTCTTGGCAGACATTACCATGTTACGAAGCCTGTTGTGGCGGGTCTCCTCGCGTCTTGACTCTGCCAGTGACCATATACTCCCAGCCGCTACAAGGGAAGGCATCGCCAGGGTTTCCTTACTACGCCAGTTTTCCTGAGAGTCACCCATGTCATCATAGTCAAGAATTACTTCACTCCCCGGCAACAAATCGTCCATTTCCTTGTCCGGAATGCATATCTGATCAACAACGAGCTTTACGCTTTCAGTAGAAGCCTTATTATCCGCTAAGGGAGGAGGTCTTAGCTTGCTGTAGATAGTCGCGCCGAAGACACACAGATTCAGAGACAATCCCGCGCAGATGAGCATGGCGCCTCTCCACCCCAGCTCGCGCACGAACCTCTCCATGAGCGGACCGAGAAAGAACACTCCGCATCCCGATCCAGACATCGCGAGACCTACGGCGAGGGCGTGGCGCTGCTCGAAGAACCTGGAGAGTCCTACTACCCATCCAGAAAAGTTGAGACTTGTTCCTAGAGCTAGAAAGGAATAAAATCGAGTCCTCACCACACGGAAGTTCATGAATAAATTTCCAGCATTCAGTCCTATTCCACGTGAATCAACCAACGAAACTCCTAAGACACTCACCGTTCACGAAGCCATGTGTGAAGAAGATGACGTCGAGACTCGGGGCGAAGGCGGTCATGAAGTTGCCGAGACCAGCCAGGAAGCCCCCGAGCATGACGGCGACGCGGGGACCCCACCTCATGACGACCCAGCCGGCGATGGGCCCCGAGAACATGTGGACGGCGGAGTTGGTCGAGTACACCCAGCCGGTCTTGCCTCGGGACTCGTCGAAGGTGTTCAGAAGCTCCACGAAGAAGACGCTGAACGAGTAGTACATGCCTGCGAGGAGTAGACAGAAGCAATTGACTCACACTTTTATTATGTTTTGTTGTTAGTATTAATATTATACACACACACACACATATATATATATATATACATACACACACACACACACACACACACACACACACACACACACACACACACACACACTAAATATATATATATACATACATATATATATATATATATATATATATATATATATATATATATATATATATATATATATATGTGTGTGTGTGTGTGTGTGTGTGTGTGTGTGTGTGTGTGTGTGTGTGTGTGTATGTGTGTGTGTGTGTGTGTGTGTGTGATATCTTATGTAACTTACAATTAATGACTTTGTCAATAAATCTTCCCATTCAGTCGAGGCGCATCTGCACATAAAAGATAACAATACTACTTTATAGCTGTAAGTCAACTAGCCATAAAAAGCAACAGCTGTCGGCGGCTAAACAGTATCCGTTTTCATAAGATTGCTTCAATGGAGTGATATAAGATATGGAGAGAAAATATCATATGTTTTCCTTAGTTCTCTCTCGATATTTATATTCTACTGAGAATAGAATACCGCATAATGTTTTCCTTAGTTCTCTCTCGATATTTATATTCTACTGAGAATAGAGGACCGCATAATATCCTATAATTGAAAAAAAACTTTCAAACATATGAAAGAAAGCAGAAAATTACAACAGCCGTGGTATGACTGGCGCAAAATTTGCTTTCATGCCTGAGACCAATTATAAACAGGATCATTAGGCCCGTTAGTAATTAGCGGGGTCTGATATGCAGTCTGCATTGTTTAACATGATCCCATTATTGCATTACAATAAACTACGTGCTCGTATAAAGAATAACTTAACTGCCGTTTGAACACTTGTCAACATTAATGTATATCGATCTTCAGTGGCTCGTTATTATGATTTTTTCTCTTAGACTCGTGTGTTCTGAAGGTTATGCTGTTCTTTGTTTTGTCTTTACGAATATACATATAATGGCATCTTTGGTTCTGTTTACAAGAATAATAATGAGATATAAGTGATAATAGACTTGAAATTTTAATCAGCTCATATATTATCTTAAAAATGAACAATGTAAAGAAATGAACAAACCTGACGAAATGAAGAAGTACAGATAGGCCGCCACAAACACCACCCACGCCCATCCGCGATCGACGTCTGGGCTGCGGGCGCGTTGGTGCTTCCCAAGGGCGGCGGTGGGGGTGGGATCGCTTCCCGCCTCTGGAAGGAAAGGGGAATTTGGGGATTAAAGAGGAAGAGGGATTTAGAGACTGGAGATTAGTTAAATGATAATTAAGTCGCTCTACTTTTCCCTTTGTCTAGCGCCGATCTAGCGCCGAGCTTGTCACGCTATCAGTGTGTAGAAAGGGGCGAGTGTGATTCGACCTACATTAAGATAGGCCTAGTAGCATTGTGCAATATGCAATTAATCATTAATCATTAATCATTTCATCTAGAATGTATCTATTCTGTTTTGAAAGACTTACATCGCAGTGTAACTTATTTTACTTAATGAGAAGATACATCAACTTCCTTCTATGATCGATAAGAACGCGTCAAGGTTAGCCGTGTTTCAGTAATTCTTATTATCCTGAGAGCATTTACGCGGCTATGCAAACATATATGAAAACGCTTGTGTGTATATGTTGTGCGCTTGCATTTGCCTGATGCATGGGTAGGTATATATATATATATATATATATATATATATATATATATATATATATATATATATATATATATATATATATATGTATATATATATATATATATATATATATATATATATATATATATATATATATATATATGTATGTATGTATGTATATATATATATATATATATATATATATATATATATATATATATATATATATATATATATATAAAGAGAAAGAAATACTGTAATTTACTGTATCCATGCATCTGTATCCATTACTGTATATAGGATATCCTATCAAAAGTGTTCCCTTAAACAACGAAAGCACACTGGCTTACCCAAGTTGTGAAACTCCACCTCCTGAGTTTTGCCCAAGCTCTGGCGTCGCGGGTCAAGAAGCCCTTCGGATTCTTGCAGAGGAGATCGCTTTTCTGCCGGTGCCGCCTCTCCCCCGCTCTCGATAATCTTCGTCTGGGGCGCCATGGCAGGACGTCCCTCCGGTTGGGTCGATCTGGAGGACAGACGGAGTGAGATCGTAGGTAAAGTTGCCTCTAGAAGTTCTTGTACCTTCTGTGTTACTTCCTGTCAAGATGTGGCACCGTCGCGGAAATAACTTAACAATGATTAAGTGGGCTTTCATGCTGCAACGACGGACACAAGTGGGTTATCTATGCCAGATGTCATAACGGTAGACACAGTTTTATGAAAGTGGAAACGATGGAAGTATTACAAGCTCTGTGGTTTAATTCGGGAGGACTTGTTTACCATCATGGAATATTAATGATTCTTTGTTTGGCGTGATGTAAGGGTACGAAAAGAGGATCTTGTTTGTATATTTGTATAATCTAGAAGAGTGAGTATGATAAATATGATAAAAGAACATTAGATCGATAAAAAGTACAAAAATACTTCGCAGGTGCTCAACGAGATTGATTTGTTTCTTTTGTGATTACTGCCTAGTTTTTTTTCTTATTCATGTATCCTTCCTTTGTGTATATATTTGTATGATTATTTTCATTACTAGTTCATAATTTCGCCTCACATGTTTAGGGCACGTGTCCAGAATAACCAATTACTTTGGCCTTGTGTGACATCATATACCACTTTATTAAGTCTCTGAGCCGTGCACATTATTACCTTAATAGGGTGCTAGTGTTTCCGAAGTAATAATAAATAACACTACTTGAGTTCAGTTTGATAATTTACCTAAACCTATTTCGATCATAACTTACAATTAATTTGGCATATATCAGCATAACGTAAAAAGTCAGTCCCCCCCCCCCCCTCTCTCTCTCTCTCTCTCTCTCTCTCTCTCTCTCTCTCTCTCTCTCTCTCTCTCTCTCTCTCTCTCTCTCTCTCTCTCTCTCTCTTGCTCTCTCTCTCTCTCTCTCTCTCTCTCTCTCTCTCTCTCTCTCTCTCTCTCTCTCTCTCTCTCTCTCTCTCTCTCTCTCTCTCTCTCGATGTCATGGGGTGGAAACGAATTCCACTTAAGTAGTTTAGTCTCTCTCTCTCTCTCTCTCTCTCTCTCTCTCTCTCTCTCTCTCTCTCTCTCTCTCTCTCTCTCTCTCTCTCTCTCTCTCTCTCTCTCTCTCTCTCTTAGAAATTTGCCACCTCATTGCGATGGAGACATTGTGTAACAATGTTGTAACGCCTAATAGTTTATGTATGATTTATGTATTAGTTTTGTGTATTACATGCCAAATTTAGGGGTTCTTAAATATACATGTAATCGTTCATTAGTTTAGTTGGGTAAGTTTTCTATCTACAGTCGCCCTCAAGCGCGACGTCGTCCGGATGCAGTATGTAAACAGGGTAGGCTTTCGTGAGAGACTTACCTCCTGTTGTATTTCCCGGTCATGTATGAGAACCATGTTATTCAACAGCAGGTATTAAACAGCTCTGCCCTATTTATTCATGAAACAACATTCCCGTAGCTTTGCTTATAAGCCGTTGCCTGAAACTTACAATTTAGACGAGAGACTGGAGTCATTCAGAACTATCTGGCAACCACTCAATAGGTGATCAGTTGCTGTATCTTACTACAACAATAAATTACCAACAAATCTCGATTCGCTTTTACCCGCACTCTATGGACTTTAAATTGTTCATTCTAAGAAACGCATGCCTCGCTATTTAGGACTCTGTTTGCACAATTCCATGCACTGCATCCTACGGTAGTATATACCCTTTATAACTCTCTCTCTCTCTCTCTCTCTCTCTCTCTCTCTCTCTCTCTCTCTCTCTCTCTCTCTCTCTCTCTCTCTCTCTCTCTCTCTCTCTCTCTCTCTCTCTCTCTCTCCCTTTAAGCATGCGACCTTACCCATGTTGCTATGACATTAGCAGTTATGTTGCTGAGACGATAGCTCTCGCCATTCCCATTCGCGAAATCAATGGCTTTGGACTAATTCCTGTTTATGTGTGCAATTGGGCCTCGCCAACCAATAACTACATTAAGCATCAGCATACATTACACAAAATATAATGAAATGTGCAGCGATACATTAATGGTAAATGAAACTGTGAGTGACTATACCTCGCGGCATTTTTGTTGAAGTTTATATATATACATATATATATATATATATATATATATATATATATATATATATATATATATATATATATATATATATATATATATATATATATATATAAAGTTGAGGCTGGTGTGATAAAGAGATAATGCTGGTACTGTACGATACCAGGTACTGTAGCCTGGCTTTATGCTTGAGTAACCGGGATCCCTTCCATTCATTTCTTACGTATTTGATGATGTTGAATCTTTCCATTTTTTCCCAGATAACATAAATGGCATGCTGCGACCATCAGTATCAGTATTAGTATCACATCGTGTCGTGTAAAGGTAGAGGGGAGTGATTTTTATCGTACAAATACGTATGTGCAATAAATTTTGCAGCATTGTTAATTTAGTGCAGACTCATATTTGAAGCTTGTTTTTTTTGCATGTGAAAAGTCTAATCATTGGTTTTTGATGCGTTTTTATTTGTGCAATGGAGTCGTAAAGAGGAGAACACAAGTTGTTTTGTAAATCTGGATAATGAAAAATGTGCATTTTTCTATTATGCAGTTAAGCGAAATATTGTTGAAGATTTTGGTGCTTAGTAAACAATATCTCACGGAGTCACTTGTTCACATATGAACATGCTTCTCCGTGTCTGTCTATTTTGTATATCTGTCTATATGTCTATCTTCCCGCCTGTCCGTTTATCTATCTGTCTGCCAGTCCTACGTCGGTCTGTCTGTCTGCTCGTCTGTCTTTCCTAAAGTTTGTCTGTCTGCTCGTCTGTCTTTCCTAAAGTTTGTAAGTCTGCTCGTCTGTCTTTTCGAAAGTCTGTCTGTCTGTCCGCCTGTCTGTCCGCGTGGTTGTCTATAAGCCTGTCCGACTGAGTGTCTGTCCGTGCATTTGTCTGTCCATCCGTCTGTCTGCCTATCTTTCTGTCTGTTTGTCTGTCTGTATGTGTGTCTGTTTATCTTTCCGACTGTCTGTCCGTCTACCTGGCTATCCGTCAGTCTGTCTGTCTGCCAGTCTGAATGTCTGTCTGTCCCTCTGTGTTGGTAATGACTGTTATTAAAAAAAAATGAACGTAGAATCTTATATAACTTCATAAGATCTTTTTTTTTATTAGGTAAGGATTTATTATCTAATTTGATAAGAGATATAATTTGGAGATTCTCTCTCTCTCTCTCTCTCTCTCTCTCTCTCTCTCTCTCTCTCTCTCTCTCTCTCTCTCTCTCTCTCTCTCTCTCTCTCTCTCTCTCTCTCTCCTCCCTCCCTCCCTCCCTTCCCCCCTCTCTCCTCTCTCCCTCTTCCGCTCTCTCTCTCTCTCTCTCTCTCTCTCTCTCTCTCTCTCTCTCTCTCTCTCTCTCTCTCTCTCTCTCTCTCTCTCTCTCTCTCTCTCTCTCTCTCTCTTTCTCTCTCTCTCTCGCTCTCTCTCTCTCTCTCTCTCTCTCACTCAGCATTTCTCTCTTAATCATTTTACACAGTAGGTTACGTGACCAACCCCGAACAGAAATCTAATTTATTTGTCTGCACAACGTCTCCAACAGGCGAATGGGCGGGACGTTTATCTAGTATCGTGTTTATCCCTTTTTGCTGATGAGTTTGGCGCAAGAAAAGTATGTGCTTGAGCCCTTGGCGACTCCAGCCGATCGGCATACTGTGTGCTACAAGGAAACAGATGTTCTTGTGCTCAAGTTACGCTGGCAGTTATGTAACTTCTTTTTTTCTCTCTCTCTAGACTTACACTGTTATCAACGCCAGAGAGTGGTCTTAAAAGTGTCATTCCCAGAGGACTGTTACAGACTTCTTACTTCATGTACATGTAACAGTGAGCGCGTGTTTACAGTGAGTTCGGTTTCATAACTTGGCGGGAAGGTAAAAACATAGATGATGTTTGATTTTTATCTTTTTTAAGGGGTGGGGCGAAATTATGTTCTGTATCGTATATTTCTTTGCTTGGGTTTGGCGATAAGCGTTTCTCTGTATATTGGTGTAACAGGAAAAGCGGGATCGATTGAGAGATTTTAAGGAAATTCTGTCAGGCGTCCAGGTTACATGGTTACATATATATATATATATATATATATATATATATATATATATATATATATATATATATATATATATATATATATACTTAAATATATATAAACATTAAGAATGCACACACACACACACACACACACACACACACACACACACACACACACACACACACACACACACACACACACACACACACACACACACACACACACACGGACATATGTAGATAAATAGATAAATGGGTAGGTAGATAGATAGATAGATAGGTGAACAGCTGGCTATCTAAACAGATAGATAGGAAGATAAATATAGAGAGAGCGATATAGATAGATAGACAGATAACCAGAAGTGAGACAGAAAGAGAGAATCAAGATACTCATCCATATCGGCATAAATTATGAACGTTTTATGCCCAGCAAACGTCCCATGCCTGACACCACAGCGCTTGCGGGACAATGGCTATTTTTCGCCAGCGATTAGTGCCCCGCCATGGCCTTGCTCCTCGGGTCCCGGCGTCCACGTGATCAGATATTTCGAGATTTTGCTTGTTCATGCTTCCAGCGACTGATTTCAGTGGCCATCTTTAGTGATATGACTCTGCTTTGCTATACCGGTCTTTTTTTTTTTTTTTTTTTTTGTTCAGTATGGCAGCTGTTGGCATTGTCATTAATGTTTTAGATAGATAAAAAGGAGAAAATTCCAAATATCTACATACTGCTGTTTATATTCTTAGTGCTACTGTTTCCTTATCCTCATAATCAACATTTGATACTGCAAATGATATAAATGTAATTAACTGATAATGATCATGATAATGAGGAACTTTTATGCATATTATATTCCTAAATACTAAAATAATAATAGTACTAATTATCATAAGCACATTCTCATAATTATTAACACTATCATTATCACCACCATTACCGTCACCATCGTGAGCATTG